CTGAGTAACGTCCATCTTCAATCCTTTTTCTCCTCAACCTTCTCCCAGGTAAAGCAGGATGGGTATTTGAGAACAGGAAGAGCTTGCATTTGCAAAACAAGCTCTTGTCTCTTTTAGACACTCAAGCAGAAGAAACTAAAGCTAGGAAAAGTGTCTAAGAATCATCTGTGACCTACCTGTTTCCTCTTTCCCACTGGTAAAGCCGGCATTATTTACATCTTCCTCAGCACAATAAATTCCCGTCATCTTCCCTAATGTTATCCCTCATCTAGGGATTTTTCCATTACGGTCAGTATTACGCAACCCTGATAGCTCTCCCAAGATCACATTGCCTTCATTTGAGTTATTCCCCCACAGCAGAGGGCAGTTGTGATGGGATGTATCTTGAGGTCATTACACCAAGGAGAATTAAAAGGTGTGAGCATGACACTGCATTTGCTTGCCAGAGGCTGCCTTGTGAACAGCACAATCGTACTGTTTGCCAACTTTCAGAAGAAAAGCTGGTTTTACGGATGCCTACCATGCACATAAACAGACACCGTGAGATTTGGCAGACAGACGCGGGAGATGACAGGTTTTTATCAAATTATTTGTTTATATTTTATACCAATAAGGATCATCCAGATTTGTTGGAAGAAGGATCCAGGAAATATTAAATGCACCTTAGATAAGATTTTCATTAAAAGTTCCTGAATCTGATAGTTCTAAGGCACAATCACATCCTGTCTTTCTTTTGTCTTTGTCATTGGTCCCCTCTCAGCTTAATGGCAGTGAAAATGAAGCAGCCTTGGCTAGCCATTTATGTAGAAGGAAATCAGGAGCACAGCATGTCCTGTCAAAGCAATAGGCTCTGTTCTGCATTTTGTATACAGTATAATTGGACACCCCACCTTGTGAGGAAAATTCATGCCTGGATGAAGCCAAATGCAAACACAGGGAATGAGACAAAAGCTTTCTAGGACCATGAAAACCTTCAGGATGTAGGCTGAGGGAACCCAAGACTGGTTCAGGACACTTTGATTTCCATTCGGAGCTTTTATACGCAGTTTAAGGTGTTCACATTTGTGAGTTTCATTTGGACTCGGTCTCTGTTTTTCACTTGCCATAGAACCTGCACAAAAGAATAATGTCTGAGTGGAGGTTTGGAGCACAAGCAATTTATCAGGAAATAGCAACTTGCATCCCAAATACTTTCTCAGAAAGGTCAACTGACAGAGATGTTTTCCACACTCCCCTCAAAACTGTAATTTTTTGATCTTCTCTCATATGATGCTCCAAGAAATGAGGTTGCACTTTGTATTATTCATTTAATACTATAGTTCCCTGGTGACATCTTCACGTTCCTTAATGAGGGCAGCGTTGCTAACTTGTTAGGAGCCTGAGGACTCTCTCAAATTAACATTGCATGGAGAGGAAATTAACAGAGAGAGGAGCTCCTTGCATAAAATGGAACAAGATGACTTGATGGCCCTTTCTTCAGTCTTTATTTCTGTATTAAAGAGGAAATGTTACCAAGGATAATATAGCACACTGTTACTCAAAACTGGGGTGCCCTTGTTTTTATTGAATAACCTGAATGACCAAAAGTAATTAATCCTTTGCAATACTAATTATGTAAGTTGAGCAAGCATGATTTGGGTGCTTAACTGTGAGGAAGAAAGGGCAGGCACATGTGTCTTAGGGTAAAATTATTGGGGAGCAACATCAATGAACAAAAAATCTTTTAGTGGGGTGTGTTTACCTGTGAGTAAATCAGGAGTCACGTTATTGTCTGAGTAGGATAATGCTGTGCTTTTATTAACAAGAAAGAAGTTAGAACATGGCTTTTTCCATACCTCATCATAAAGCGATCCCTGGCAAGAGTCAAAGAGAAAGCAACAAAGGAATACAGGAGAGACAAAGCCAGGCAATGGAATCATAAAGTAAGGGGAGTTTCAGTAGAGACATTCATAGCGTGTTTTCCTTTAAAATTTTCCTCTGCAAAATGTGGTTGACGAAATACACCCTCTATGCAGTCATTTGTGAGACATACATAACACTGTTCTACAAGCCCAAAAGATACACAAAGAAGTAAGAAAAATGTGTGTGTGTGTGTGAACGTAGACCTCTTGTAACGTTCATGAAGACCAGTTCCGCTGCAGCCTTTTGGGGGCTTTTTTGAGGACTGTAGCTTGCTCATGCAAAAACAGTTCCTCAAATGGGCTGTAAGTGGTCATTGCAGGAAGTTTGTTCTGGGGAGTAAGGGATTGCTTCCACACAACCTTCATTTGTGGTTTTACCATGCAAAGCAGCTGAGTCATTGCTGACAGATACCAGGAGCTATAAACCCAAGGACGATCGCTGTGCTGACAGCAGCAGACGTTCTCCTAAATAATGATTGTTGCCAAATATTTTCTTTCTTTCTGGCAAAGTCTTCCTCTTCCCTTTTACAATTCTTAAATGCTAGAAATGCTGGAGGCAAAAACTCCCCTCATATGACTCCTTGCCTAGGTGCCATGCACAGGGGCCTTATCCCTCACCTGCTGGTGGTTATTCCAAAAAATGGAGGTAACAAACAACTGAGCCAGTCCACAGAAACCTGCTAATTAAACTTGGGGCACACCTGGTTGCATCTTGTAGCTGCAAATGATTTTAATCAAAATATACCCAAGGTCAGCAAAACCAGACTCCCCTCCTCTTCCTAGCTGTAGACACCCAGACTGCTCACTGTCTCTGAATCCTGTAAGAGGTCCTGACTGGCAGAGTTTCTGTAGGGGTGCAGTCGTGGGCAAGTTTTGCAAAGTGCTTGGGTGGCAGCCCCTGGGGTCAGCTTTGGCAAGGTGAGCGTGTGTGGACGTCACACCTTAACAGGCGCTGCCATCTGCTGCTGGTGGACCCCCTGGCTGCACCAGGAGCTTCGCCACCTCTTGCCAGCAAAAGGCTGCGACTTGCTCATGGTCAGACCCCACTTGCTTTAAGCCAGATCTCAACGATGGGCCAGATGGGCCTCTCCTGTCTCTTACGCTTCCGAAGACACACCGTACAAATGAAATTTAAAGGCTTACAAGTTGCATCTTAAACCAAACATAAGTTTGGGGAGTGATGCTCCTGTGGGGAGAAGTGCTAATTAGTGACACCTTCTGCTACTGAGCCCAGCGACAGACGGGCTTACTGTAAATGAGTGGTTGGTCTGGAAGGGCTATGCTCTGGGGAACCTGCAGGAGACGGACAGATTTAGCTACAGCAATTGGTAATAATCTGTGGAGAACAAACACAGAGCTAAGATTTGGCAATAGACAGTACAGAGAAAATGACGGTAAGACATGCTTTAGAAAAATGGTTACAAGTTTTTTTTTTTTTCTTTCTTTTTTTTTTTTTTAAACTGTGCCATGGTAAAATGATGCACAGCCTTCTCTCAGCAGCACTGGAAGGGAATTGGACAAAAGAACTTTTCCAGGTTCTGCCACTGACTCTCTTAAGCTCTTAGTCTAGTCTCTGAGTCTCTCTCTATGTCATAACTTGGAGATAATAACATTTTGGTCCTCTCTGTGATCTTTATCTTTGTGTTTTCTGGCAAAAGCTTTTGGTCTGCATTTGTTCATTACTAGCCTTCAAGCAGTCGGGGGGGGGGGGGAAAGCTTTTTCTTCCCCAAAGCTGGAAATACTTCACTGAAAATCTCTGGTCAGAATGCTTTCAATTTTCAAGTGGAAACGTGAAATTTGCTAAGGGAAAACAGATAGGTAGTTTATACACAATCTTTTTCCTCTTTTTTTCTAGAAACTTCATTTTCTATCATAAGGAAATAAATCCATCCTATTATTTGTAACAGCCAAGCACGGTGGACATATTTCAGGATGTGGGAGTCCTGGATTCAAAAGCAGCCAGAATACAGATTTGAAATAAGTCTTCTCTATTCTAGTGAATGTCCTGCACCCTCTGCCGTTGGCTGTAACAACACAAAGCTCTTTCCTTGGCGCTTCCTGTCGAACAGCTCAGGCGGTTCCTTACTCAGTGGCTGGCTGTGGCTGCCATCGTTCCTGTCTTCCAGCTCGCTGCTGAGCTTTGAAAGGGATACCAGGCAGATCGCTGGAGGCTGCAGACTGCTGAACCAGGCCCCAGGCTTTCTGCAGATTTAACCCCAATGGATTAAGGTGGAAACTCCACTATGTGGTTTGTAAGAAAGGCACTCCTGTGTAAATAGACTTTCTGTAATTACCATCTTTAATGAAATTACTTAAGAGTCAAACTTCAGGAGCATATTTGTAGCCATCAGGCACACAGTTTTGCAGGGAAATTGCTGCAGATTGAGAATGCAAAGACATCACTCTCTGGTCTGCTCTGTGAGATCGGAATGACACCTCATCCACATGTTTCTCTCCCCTTTCCCTCTTGTATCTGTGAAGCATCCAGGCAGCCTCGATATTCACTTATTTAAGTGCATTTAAATGGCAAGGTCACACCTCTTGTCCATCCCCACATACCCCCACCAGGTCAGCTCTTCAGCTTGTTTCTGGCCGCTCTTGATGGTTAGTTTCCACCAAGTTTGAGGCTTTTTATTTTCTGGTAAATCCCCATGTGCCAGTTTTGGGCAGGAAGATGAATGTCAAGGAAGCTGTCCAATTTTCTGGAGTGGGAACTGGGGACATTAAAGTCTAAAACAAGCAAGACCCAGGTGTCAGTGCGGTCAGGCAGTGGGGAGAATTGTGCTGGAGCAGGACTGCTGCTGGCAGAAGTGTTGCATAGGGCCAGGTGAGCACCTGAAAACATGCTGAAGAACCAGGGAGTAATGTTGCTTTCTCTGCATGCGAGTTGAAGCTGACTTCTCACAGAGCCAGCAAGAAAAGCTTGGGAAACTGCCACAATGCTTCATCCTTTCCTTCTTCCCTGATGCCTTGTGTATTCTGCATTTTTTTTCAGCCTTTATTGAAATAATTGACGCTTAGTTCATGTGCTAGTGTAATTTTGTCTTTCCAAAGGGACCTTTGCATGGGAATATTTTTCTGGATTCTCTAAGAAGTGTTTAAAAGACAGTCCATGTAACTACAGCGCTCAGGCAAAGGCTCAGGCCCAGGCTACCAGAGGTCAGCCTCACACCTCCACTTGGGAAATACTTCTGATCAACATAGTCTATGATAGCTGTCACAGCCAACATCGTCTCTTCACGTGTAGGCTGGATCTGGTCTGCGGGTAGAACAAATCCATGAGTTCCCTTGTCTCGCAGCTCAAATGTGTAGGAGAAAGGGATGCCTATCATGTGAGCCCAGTCCCGCGAGGAGCCTGAGTTACTGTCTGAGAATTTAAAAATAGAGGGGAGATAAATTTATTAGGCACTGTTCTTTGAAAATACTTCTTGCTGTAGTAAATGCAAGATTGTCCCAGAATCCCTGAACTAAGCATCGTATGTCACTGACAGAGAGAGCAGAATTTCTAGGTGCTGTGATTCTTAATTGTACTAAAAGTCTTCCACTCCACAGAATTTCCTCAGTGAAACGATTCTCTGTAAGATGGTATTGTACAATAGCAGGAGACGAGTTCCAGGGATTGTGTGCTTTTTAGCATTTTGCCATGATTACCGTTGGGTACAAGATGGATTGGCCATTTGTTTATTTTCTCATACTTCACTTCCTACGCTGACACTGTTTGGAAGTTCTTTGTGTGTTTGTTTTTTAGCAAAATTTTGTTCAAAGTTGAAAAAATTCTGGCCACTCTCTGTATCACTGCTCTTCTGCCTCATGGATCTTTTTTCTTACCCGTTCAATATAAGTACAAACCCTGGCTAAATAGACACAGTCATAGGCATGGACATGTTACCTTATACTTGCACTGCGCTCGCTGTTCATGCAGTGACTTGTGGGACTCTGGGACTGGCACAGACAGACATTGGGAATATGCAAAACCACATGGGTACTGAAACCAACTACCTACTATTATGAGTGACTAGCATGACTTATTGCTTCCTGGGAGAAGGTTGTTTTTACCAGGCAGTCTCCATGGCCCTCTGGTCCTCCACCTTAAGACTGTCAGCAAATATCAGCTGTGATGGTACTTTCCTGATGTAGCTATCTAGTTTGCTAGGAACGAGGCTGAAACCAGCATATTTCACACAGAACTGCAAGCAGCTGCCGTGTGATAATGTCTGATGGAGCAACTATAGACCTGATTGGGATTTTAATTTTTGCTTGACTCCAGTGAAGACAAATAGGAGTTTTGCTGCTGATTTCAGCAGGGCGAGGATGATCTGTCACCAGTCTTGTTCTGTCCCTTGTGATATATCTGTGAGGAGATCATGTAAGAACTAGCTTCTGATCAATGCTTCCTTCCTGCAGTCAGTTTTATAACGTACAGTGTTATCTTGTATTCAAATGCCTGCTACTTAGATGTTGCACTGAAGCAGCCCATTAAATATTACTCAAAGAGGAAACTCGGCGAAGCAGCGCTTACTGATACCTATGACACAAGAATGACTCTCCTTTGAAAAACAGCAATCAAAGGGAAAAATAAATAAAGTTACATAAAATTAAAGAGGTTGCTCCTACTTGATAATTGGTCCCATACTTCCCTGTCAGGGCAGTAGCTGCTTTCTCTGCAACTTGCATCTGTAAGTTCAAAATAGGAACAGCATTTTCATTAGTACCGGTAAATTTGGCAACTATTTTGAGTAGGCCAAAACTTTCTTTTCTTTCAGCTTTGAGTTTACATGTGGTTGGCTTCAAGTTTTAATATTATTAATTCAGGACTTTACAGAAACCCATTACAAACATTTGGGCATTTTTTTCTTCCTTCCTCTTTTTTTTTTTTAATGCAAGTTACCTTACAATTCAAAAATGACTCTGCTATTAGGTAGAGAAGGTATTTGTTTTGTTGTAGAGGGCTGTATTTCAGAGAATTAGGGTCTATGTTCTGTAGCATACTGGTCTCCAGGGAGCAGAGAGAACTACAGCAGAGTGATTGATCTCTTATGCTTGTTCCGTTACCATAGGTTCTGTGACTCACCGTCTTTAGAAACTGAGCCATAGACAGATTAAATAACTTCCCCAGCATCTCATATGAAGGCTGAACCCAAGTTTGTCATACTCTTGACTAGTGCTCCAGGCGCAGCAAGGTTCACAAGTACACATTTTAATAAACTCAATTTAAAACATTCGGAAGCTGAGGAGGAGAAGTAACCAAAAGCAGGTGCCGCCTTTGCTCCCATTCTCCTCATGGACATCTTTGGAACACCCCTTCTGGCCACAACTGCGACAACTCTGTGTGTATAATATACCTGCATCCCAAAGTGCGAACACATGTTGCATGCAACAATTGATTGCAAGGACAACTTGATGCTTTTCTCTACTCCTCTTGCACTGCAGTAACCCTATCTGTAATAATCCATTTTTCCTATTTTAAAATGAAGGATTAGGATTAACTTCTGAGGCAAACAGGCTTTGCAAATACTGCCCATAAAACAGACAGCCAAGCAAGATGAGGTGACTACAGCCCTACATTAGGGAAATGAGCATGCTAAAGCTTGGGGGACCTGCCTCAAAGGAGGCTTTCTTTGAAGAAAAGTTGCTTGCTACTTCTTTTCCTTGGTACTTCACTTTTCCGCCATACAAACACTAAGTCAATGTCCCAAGAGCTTCTATTTACAGGGAATGAAAGTAGCATTAAACGGAAGCCAAGAGCTCTGATATATTATTATATAGACATGAGAGGAGTTGTAAACCCAGAGAATATATTTAAGATATACGGAGCAAATGCAGACATTAAACTCTGCACGGGATGGTTCCAACTCTCCTGGCTAAGGAGGGGAGAGGAGCCAATGTCAGTTCATAACCTGTCCTCCCTGTGAGGGCAACGTCAGGACTGGCAGTGACTCCGGGTGCCAAGTCCCTGGATAAGCCCCGTTCTTCTGAGGGACAGGCAAGAGGGCAAATAGAGTTGTGCCACAGGCTACTAGCAGGCCTGTTCTCTACCAGTAGGGAAGGGGAGTGTTTTGCCCCACCAGTTCTTTGTTGTTACTTGGAGGTTTGGTCGTTGGACCCATATGGTGTGAGGATGTACTGTCCATAGGAGTGAATTGTTAAATAGCACAAAATGTCCTCCTCCTTCCTCTCGATAAACTGAGCCACAGCTCTTGTCTCAGGCTCCGATTCTGGTCCAGATCCGCAGAAGATGTCACTGCTGCAATTATAAGAAACACCAATACCTGGAGAGGAATACAAAACGTGAATGAAAGGAGAGAAATACATAAACCCCAATTCAGGGGGAACGGGGAAGTTTACCTTAGAGCGTTAGGGCATGTATGTACGTGGGCAAGGAGACTAGTCAGCTCAGAGGGACTTTAACGCTTTTCACTGTTGGTAGCAACTAAAATTTGCTACAAGATTGAAATATTTAACACGTTTTCAAGCTGGCTGCAACAAAAGCACTCTGTCGCCACCACAGTGCACCACCTGCCCGGGAACTTCTGGAGACTCCTTGAAATTCACAGCAAACACAAATACTGGCTGTTAAGTGACCAGCTCTTAACATTGCTGCCATATAGCTGATGCTTGCTTCTGCAGTGACTTAGAGGGATGCTTACACAAGCAGCAGTCTTCTGTTCACAAAAATAAATGCTAGCTGAAAGCCAGTGACTTAAAATTTCTACAAACCAAGTTTTTATTTTTACATAAGTCTTGATGACACCAAAATGAGTATTCCTTTCTTAAAGGAGATCATGATCATCTTATTGCAAAGACTAGTTGTTGTTCTTGGTTTGTATTTATGTAGCAGATCTGAAGTACTCGGAACTTACTGCCCCAGGAGGAATTGAAGTTCCGGTTCAGATCTGTTCCATAGCTGGTGCCATTCATATATGGAGAACGGTTTTTCCTCCCACAAACGTTCCTAAACAGAAATACCTTCAGTTACATAACAACAATCAATGTGTAAAGGTTCCTCTGTTTCAGTCCTCTGCATTCTGAATAGCTCTTGCATTGTAGGGGACTCTGAGTGCAAGGGGGACAAAGCTTAGTGACAGAACACCTCATTATCTGCTACAGCCAGGCTGATATCTTCCACAAGCCTGCACACACCTTGAAACGGGCCTCCTGAGCTTCAGAAAAAAACATCCTATTTCCTTAGTACTCTACTGTTTCCATGCAGCGTTGCACTCCTGGGAAAGTCTTGGCACTGTGAGAGATACCCTCTGTGTCCAGGAGAGATTATAGTCAAACACATGTTCGTTTCAGATTTGAGATGAATGCTTTTTTGTCAGCTAATCTTGCCCCTGCTCCTTGGTTTCCTGCTGTACTAGAACTCACTGCACTGCCTGTGCGAGCGTCTTGGCTGAATTGCAGTGCGTGGCGTGCTGCAAACCTGCTGGGTAGCGAGCTGGGATCCACATGGCAGGAGGCCCAGTTTGTTGGGCCACGCTAAGGTCCTGCATTAAAACATGTGTCTGCTAGGCTCAGGAGTGCAGAACCCTAATGGGAACTGCTGAAGACTGACACTTGGCATTATCCTTCATATCAGAAAGGAAGATTATCTGGGAGGGCACACTTATTTCAAAGCCAGATAGTCCAGTAATCGACCAACTCTCCTCCTACCCCTCCTCCTAAAGGTGGGTCCCGTCAGCTAACTCAGAGCCCTTGTGAAGCACAGCTGACTCCTCAAGGTATGCTTAACTCTGTCATCCAGTACCAAAAGCGGTGGATCCTGTAGCTTTGTCCTTATTTCTTCCCAAGGCTCGTGGCATTTGCTAGGAGTTTTTAGCTCTGTCATCTCAAATGACTGCTGATTTACCAGAAGAAACAAAACCCCCCCACCATGAGAGAGTTTGTGTGAGTAATGATTCGGCCACTGTTTTCTGTTTAACTGTAATTACTGTGACTATACCCAAAATTAACAGAAACATGCTGTGCACATTCAGCCTTCAGTCCAGTCCCTGGATTTTCACTACTTACTTTTTCCCAGGAATAGATATAACCATCAACACTGAGGACTGGCAAGATGTACAGGTCCAGATTCTGAAGAAATCTGCTTATCTTTGGGTGAGTTTTGTAATTCTGTAGAATCTGAAAAGAAAAAAGGCGAAGGACTGAACAGAGAATCTAGTGGTAATCACTGGCAAGAACCAGTTTAGAACTGTCATCAAAAAATCACTCACTCCTCAATATTACTGTGGTATCCAAGATGTGCCTGATCCCAGGTACATTGAGATATCTGCCTTCCACTGTTTACAAAGTGACAATATATCCAATTGTAGTGCACTTCATATTAGTACAATCTTGCAGGGATGAAAGCTTCATGGTTACCATAGGCACTGTAGGCCAGAAACTTTCAGTGCAGGAGGAACATTGCTATACTGTATTTTAGGGTCCTTTTCTCCCAGGGAGGACTGTGGCTTTTAATGCAGAGAAGCTTGATCCAAAAGCCACTGTGGCAAATGGAGAGATTGCCATCAAGTTCTGTGGCCTTAGAGTCTGTTCAGATGGAGGACACAACGTGCTAGCAAATATCATCATGTATCTCATCTCAAATTGTGGTTTGATCTTATGTCTCCACAATTATCTGTGCTATGTATTAATTTTGAAAGTCACGTTTTTACAGAAAAAGCATAATACTTGGTACCAAGGTACAGAAGAGAACTGAACTACCGAAAGTGATCTGTGTTTTTTATTATTTAACTGGATAAGTGAAGACTCACTTCTTTCACAAACCACTGGCAGAAGGCTGGAGAGATCCATTCTCTGGCATGAATCCCACAGTTCATCCAAATGATCTTTTTGGTTGTATTTGGTGGTTGACTGATCTGAGAGACTGCAGAAATGATGGTATGGAAAACTGTTATGTTACAATAAAATAGCTCAGCCTATTACAGGAAGAAAAAGATGTTCCTTGATATACTGCTGAGCCATCTGAGATAATTATTATTACAGACTTCGTTATGACAGGCTTTCCTTCCTAATAACCCAATCTCTGTAGTATCTCAGGGCAAGAATCTTAAAGTCTCTGTTGAACAAGAGTGTCAATAAAACGGTTTCTTCCTCATTTATATTAGTCATTCAGAGGACTGACTGTTCTTATTTTGAGATTCTTTTTTTAGAAGGGGAAGCACGAAAAGGCAAGGAATCTAATTTTTCTCGGCGATAGGAACAGATTAAACAATAACTAACTTAATGATTAAGACTCTTGTTTTTACCAGGGCTTCCAATAAAAAATGTTGTGGAATAGTCATACTAGAAAAGTTGTCTACTGTGAAGAATAATAACAACAAAACAAAACCAAACCCCTCACACACAGCTGTCACCAAACTAGTTTTAGCTTGATTTGTATTTTGAAATTGCATTTAAATCAAATTTGTGGTTTTCACCACAAAAGAGCAATGGCATGAATATGGTGATAGTGTATGTGAAAGGTGGCAAATCTAACAGCACTGTAGAGGAGTAGACCCATCTCCTGTTATTTCGGTGACTTGGGATGGGCACTGTCTTAGGAAGAATCTGAATCCTGTCTTCCCTCATGTGCTGTTTGGTAAAGATACCCTTTATTTATTTTAGTAAAGTTCTTCTCTTACCTGCAGATAATAGATAGCTCGATTCTCACTCATCCTTCCCAGGTAGCGCTGAGTCACCAGCTCACTGTTGCTCTCCTTTACTTGAGTCATCCATTGATAAATCTGAAATAGTCACAGAAAATTCTTGGTGCTAAGGAGCAGTTTCCCTCTCTTTCCCACCTCCGTTTCCAGATGAAAGTGTTTTCTGTTGTGTAGACAAGCAATATTTTTCTGAGAGCGTGTATCAATCTGTGGTATCACTTAACATTGATGGAGGGCCTTTCACTTGCCTTTGAGCAAACAAATGATCATCTCTTACAGCACTGGATGCTAAAAGATAACATCACTGCAATACAGCACTGAGTCTCTATTCTGGATCTCATTTAATATGCCCATCCCATTGGGAATTTTTCTGTTGATTTCACCAGCCCTGGGACCACACCATCAAATCCACAAAACAGTGTTACAGTCTCTTCCATGTCAGTATTGATTTTCCACATTGGAGTTCATCAGCAGTCGTACACAAAATATATGAGGATTGACACCTCTCTCCCTCGTTATCACGTGGCTAGAAGAAAGAATCCAGTGCTGAGCCTTTTTCCAGGCTTACCCGCTGGTCTGTGAAACACGGCACCAAGAAGTCCTCACTCCCCATCCACATTATTCTCTTTGAAAGTGTCAAAAATTGTCCTTAAATTACTCCCTCCTCCTGGTCTACCAGTGCTTATCTCTGCTTCCTCCCTGGGATGCCAGAGACAGCAATGGTCATTGTACTTCATAATCAGCTCGGCATCAAAAATACTGGGGCTTGAATGAAAAATAATACTAAAGATAAGATAATGATGAAAGCATGATAAGGTAGAAAAGTAGCAAACCAATCAACTGAAACTCAGAATATTGCTTGCAAAATAATATGGCTACTTCACACAGAGCATTTAGGTTTTCATCAGGGAGGAAAATGAGGTTTGATCAAAATCAATGGCAAATTCACAGTCAATTCAACTGGGCCAAGATTCTGGTAAAGAGTAAGGACCAGTCCTTCAGAAAAAACCCTTGAAGGTAGAAGGAGCTCCACTGACTTCAGCAGAGCTTTCTGCAAAAACGCAGTGGCTTCCTATGGTGTTTATAAAATAGCAGCAACAGAGAAAGTGAACACGCGTGGGTTCCTCTTTACCTCTTCCATTGGATGATAGTGGGTATAGATGTAGCCTTCTGGCACCTGCCTGTGGCTGCCCCCCTCCCTTGGCACGCTCTGATCCACAAGTGCCTGCACATCATGTATAAGGACTCTGAGGAGAGGGGAAGAGGGGAGATAGAAAAGAAAACACCCAGCTATTATGGTGGATACACTGCTTACATCAGTAAATCAAAGGATTTATCCCCTTCTGTTGTGGCCTGCCCCACGTATCTTGCTTGTCCATCTACTAGACACAGCAAATTCATCAACATACTTTCACAATACTGAGTTGTTAATTGGATTTTAATAACAATTAAAGTAACAATTTAATCACTTTTTTTTTTTTAAGTAACAATTTTCAACCCCCAAAAAATCAAGATTTTTGTGTCCTTCACCAATTCTACTGCTGGGCAAAACTCTAAAATTCCACCTTTTAGAGGAAAGGAGGGAAAAATGAAAATTTTAAGATTATTGTTTCATTATATTTCATGAAGAAATTTTCAATTTGCAAAGACTTCACAAAGGTATGTATTGCAATTTGCAAAAAAATCAGAACCAAAAAGCTCTTTTCTTTAAAAAAAACTCTTCTTGATTTTTAGCTACAAATTAACTCAAAAGGCATAGTATGGGCCTAATTCCATGATCAAGGGAGTCAGTAAAACATTTGCCTTGGCTCCAGAGGACTTTGGATCGTGCGCTGTGCTTTCTTACTGGACACAGCCCCTTGTAACACTGTTATAAATCTGTGCTCATTGTAATTACATGCGATAAGACAACTGCAAAGGCAGCTTAAACATTGTTGGTTTTGAACACTGTAAGTGCTAATAGGCTGTTCTGCTGACACTAGCACTGATTGGCATTTCTGGAAGCTGCGCGTATAACTTTTAAGAGTGGTTACAGCTGAGTTTCACTTTGAGCTTTGATGTTTATTCAAATCTGAGCTTCAAACTAAAATTTAGGCAGTGCAAATTCCCATGAACTCAAACCGCACACGCAAAAAGCCTTATCAGAGCTCTGGAGAACTGAAATCGTAGAGTTTGACACAGCCGGAATATTGATGTCCTGATTATAATTTGTCATTTATGTCTCTGTCATTACACACCTAACTGTCATTTTACCTTCCTTGCATGTCAACTACCTTCTAAAAGATGACTCCTGCTTTGAATCTGTTAAAAAAATTTAACTATAACATTGCTTTCCTCCTCTCTTCCACCTTCCTGCGGTACAAAGCCAAAATTTCAGCTTCACTTTGAAATAAGCCACCTCTCTTTTGCAGCTCCTACACAATGTGGACACAGTTCTGGTACCAGTCCAAGAAAAAATCCCAAGCTTCTAATTTCAATGTAGACTTAAAATTTCCACTAGAATCAATTGAAACCATTAGAACATGAAAAGCCTCGATATAAATAAGAGACTAAATATCTTGTGGAATGCGGTCTAAGTCCTGAATATCTAAACCCGATGCTAGATCGTTCGTACTGGCTTCTGCCTCATCTCTCCGCATTTCTAGTTGTCAGGGCATCACGTTCACTAAAAAGAATTTGTCAGGCAGGATGTCAAGATCAGCTTTAATTCTAAACAGCTTCAAAGTGGCCCAATCCTGCTTTAGCTTATCTTTGATTAGTAAATGTCACTGTATGTCCATAGGCCATTCTCATTAGCACTGGATGACTACAGAATGGTTTATAAGTCAGTTCTGCATGGGAGTCTGACTTGTGAGAAATAGATCTTTGCCCAGTTATTTAGTTTGGCTTTATGAACACTCTTTGTATCTGAAACTTCCACAGTGAATTAGATCTTCTGGTTGGAAGCAGATACATGGTGAGTGGCCAAGATGTGGACTGGATAGGCATGCAAAAGCATTGCGAAGCTTTCTGCAGCAAGTGGCCTGCACAGTGGGGGCCTCCTACTAGCCCCTCTGTGTCAGACTGGGCTGTCTCTCTTTGGCTCGATGGCAGCAGGAAATTCTTACCAGCTTGACCACAGCAGCGGGGTTGAGGACATTAGGGAAACTGCAGTTTTGAAGAAACTGTCTGGAAATTCACTTTGAAAGGGCTCTTTTCCAAACCAGAGGTAGCAACAAAAGACAGGGAGGGAGAAGGAGAGCAACAGAGGCTCTGCTGCTTTTCAGTGACATCGACCAAACCTTCAGGTTCTCCAAAATAGGGAGGACACTTTGTGCAAGTATTCCTACTTTCCAAGAGCAAAGCATGCTCCTTTAAGAGGTGGATGTATCAAGCTTGGTGTCCTGGCTTGACTAGAGAATTGAGTCATATGTCTCAGAGCCATCCTTTGCAACTGAGGAGGCAGCTGCAGGAAAAAAAGATAGATCAGACATCCCAGCTCCACATTCACAGCCCAGGCTCGCTGGAAGGTGAATAAACAGGGCATAGGGGAATGTGCCTTTGAAACTCAGAGTTGGACACAGCTCCTGTGCACTGGGCCAAGTGGAGTTGGAGCCACTTGGGAACAAAGGTTGAGTCCTATCGCTAGTATTTGCAGATTGCTCATTAGAAAGGGCTTATAGCCCTTTTGTGATAGCAAGGAAGATTGTTAGAGACAGACTTTCGTATCAGGAAATTAGAGGTCGTGTTCATAGGAGATCAGATGCTGATCTAAGCTGTCTTTCACCTCCTGCACCAGAGGGGCTGGGACCCTCATATGCAGGTCTTCTCCAGTCCAGATGTCTTCAGGCAGCAGGGGCTTCCACAGATCCAGCTGGGCAGAGGAGAAGAAAGAAATGCAAAAATCAAGCTCTGTTTACAGAATGAAAAAATATATTCAAGATAGAGTAGCTGCAGATCAATACATGGAAGAAGCGTTTCTTCAAATTTTCCCCTAACTATTCCCCAGCCATCTGTTCATAGAGCATGCAGCACAGGCTTAGTGTTTCCATGGACTCAGGCGCCACTGAAAGGGAGCAGTGCCTTCACAGAGCCATGCAAGGAAACTAACTTCTCTTTATAAACCCTAAATTAAGAAAAAAAAAAAAAGTAAAGCTTTCCCAAGCTAACTTTTATCTTTGTTTCTGTCCAAAGTTACATATAAAACTATTTTGCAGACCAAGACACCTCTCTGGTTTTTATGCGCACATGGTTATTCTTACTTACCAGCAAAGTGCTGCAAAGATGCTGAAGGTGCTGGACTTGCTGAAGTGTTTTTGGCACAATATGCAAAACCTGATCCCTAGAAATTCAGTGGAGAAATAAGATCAGTTTAATATCTGCTAAAGTCTCCATGATTTCCATAAGTCAAGAGGCGGTACTTTGTTATGCGGAAGGAAGACAGAGCATGTAACTGAGTGCTGCTTGAACAAAAGCATGGCTGAATGATGAATTCCTGGAATGCTTTAGCTACATGTAGGACTAAGTGATATGGGTTTTCTGTTGCTAGGACTTTAGGTTAGCTCTGCTTACTTGCCAGTAGCTGACCTTTATCCATCAAACCAGCTTCACTGAATCCAACAGCTTGCATGAGCCCTGGTGTATGTGCTTCTGTGTTTGCAGGACTGGGGCCAAAACATGATCATTGGTAGTACATAATGAACTATTTACTTCATCAGATATCACTTTTTTCTCCCTTCTGTTCAGGAATTATTTCAGATAGGATTCATGTTTTGTTGATCTGCTTCAGCACGCAAAAAAGTTAGATAGCCGTGGTATATAAACATTGCTAAGAGAGTGAGATGCTCGCAAACTGCTTGCCATGAGAATAACCAATTTATTCAACAAACAGTGAATACAGCGGCCTGCAAAGTTGCATATTCTTACTCTCTTAGCAGTAAAGAAAAATTTCTGGTACGGGGTGTATGATAACTTTATATTTTTTTAAAAAGACACCTAGATTCAGTGTCTGAGTATATGTTTTAATTAGTTACCATGAAACTATCATTTTCTGCAGGCTTAATGTGAAAAAAACTATTGCAAGTTTACAGAGAACAAACTAAAATGGTGAGAAATGCAGAAAAAGCAAATCCGTAACTTCTACTTTGGAAAAAACCCTTCACAATTCTTTTTCTATTTTTTTTTTAGTGTTCATCAAGATCACCTTTCCAGGCCTGGTAGAAAGTGTGACCTTTCCAATGAAAGGGTTTCATAATAAGGAGCAGATTTTGATGACTACATTACATTACTCAAAGGTGAGATGGCAGTTGTCCACTACTGATGTGATAAAATGAAGAACCTGAGAAACGTTTTTATTTGTTAGTAACCAGTAACTACTGCTTCACAGTCTCCTTCAGTGACTTCAGTGGGCTTTGGAACCATTACAGGGCATGTACAAACACAAAGAACATTTTACATTTAAAGATTCTGTAACAGAAACTCTTACTGCAAAAGCCTTGCCTGGTGGATCATTATGGTCATCAATATAATACGCTCTCATCATCTGAACTGCAACTGCTACTACCGTTTGTGATTCCGTACACAAATGTACAATTATCGGCTTAATATACATGGAAATAGAATTCACTGTTCATTCACATTATCAGCTGAAAAATAGGGGATTTTTTTTAACATCCCTCTCTTTAACATACCACCTTTGCTGATAGACCAGCACAGAACTTAATAGTTAAAATGGGCTATGTACTATTGGTTCGGGAGATGCTGTAAGTATATAGCACCCTTATCTATGGGGCAAAATGATTACATTTGCATTGCTAACAATTCGGTACAACAGCCATGATGTCTTTGCAATAGAACCTCATAGATGCAGGATAAACATCTTGCTAGGAGAATAAACATCTCAGCTGCAGTTCATAGTTTATTCTCTCTAAATGCCTGGGCTTGCTTTGCTCTTTGTCTATCAGGAAGGGAAACAATATCCTGTAATATCTTTCTATCCTCATTGACATTATGTCTTAATTACAGCAAATGAAAGAAATGCCAGACAGTCAGATTGCTGCCAGATGGCCAGCTCTTATTTACTGATAAACCTTTTACAATAGCCAGTGTGGAGACAGATCATTTTTAATGGTACACTAAGATTAGAAAGCACACACTCGTTTATGATTATGGGCTAGGATTCTCAGTGCAGAAGTGCAAAGTCAGCCCATGTGACCATGTAAGGACAACAATTTTGTAATACTACAGTTAAGCTTTCTTACCAAATTGAAGGACTGTTCTCAGCACAAGCTGCATTTCTTTGGATGCTCATAGCCTCTGATCTTTAATTTAGATTGTTGCACAGAGTAAATGACAATAAAAATGTTAGTCCTGATGGCCTTTACCGGTTGCTTCATCTTTGTGCAAGTGCTGCCAACTCCAAATCACACTTACCATGCTATTAAGGGTGCTTTCAAATCCTATGCAGGTGTCAGGTTCAGTTCTGGACAGCAATTAGAAACCAAGATAAACACTGCATTACTAAAGGTTCATTGAATTCTATCCAGTGAAATCAACAGGCTCTGAGTGAGTCCATGATACAAATCTAAAGATTATCCAAGGAAAATTGGATATTTTAGAGGAAGAAGTGGTAACCGTATGCGCTCTGCCAGGAGAGATGTAGGACAGGTAGACTAGGAAGGAACTTATTGCAGTAAGTGTTGCTTCATTTTTCTCCCCTTTTTAAAACTAAATCCATGGGATACAGTTACTCTAGAAACACTTAGCACTGGGCTACCTTTTCTATTTATTTTAGAAAATTCCGTTTATAAAGTTATATGTGGATAGTCAGCCTTCTCACTACATTTCTGCCCCTCCTGCAAATCCTAACTGCTGTAAATGCACAGAATGACATATCATTTCTTGTAAAGGTGAGGGGGAATGGGACAAAATAGGTAAACAGCACAAGTTGATAACACTCAGTTTCTTAAGAAACAGAACAGAGAATGAAGAATACAGCAAAACTAGCCAACTCATGCTTTTTCAAAATCACTTGTCAGAAATAAAAACATGATAATCTCATTCCCTGAAAACCTTTGCCTGAAGATTGTCTGGATCAATTTCATTAGCATATTTTTAGGTTTTGCAGTTTTTATTCCCCAGACTTTATCAGTTATTTTTACCTCTGGGGTTTTTTGCTTCCTGCCCATATTTCTTCTCTATGTCTTTTTGTTGTTGTTACAGATTTCCAACCGGGATTCAGTGTCTGCGCTGCTTTTGACACCATTATTTTCACACAACCTCTTTTATTAATGGATCTACCTTTGTTCAGTCATTTTTACCTTCAATGTATTCAGAAAAGGCATTTTATTCCCAGAGGATCTAATTTCAAAAGTTCCTTATGAAAGAGGCTAAGCTAAATGATTTTCCGCTAATGGAATTAGAGCACCCTTAGGTGCATTTGAGGGGCATTCTGTGTCTCCTACGACTGCAGTCATGTCTTTATTGGCTTGTATTGATTCACTCTTCTTCATTTCTCATCATTATGTTTTCTTTCCAAATCTTATAAAGCGTACAGCTTAGTAACCCTTTCTCTAGGTTTTCGTTTCAGAATTGTTATTATTGTTCTTTTACACAGTGTGTGGGAATGTCACCGCATGCACAGTTCTTCACGATACCTGGTTCACACTCACCCGTCATGTTGCAATTTCAAGCTGAGTGTTCCAGGAACTTGGATCCCTAGGGAAAAGATGATTCCAAGAAGAAGTTGCATGTTTGTGCGGAGAACCCAATCCCAACAGTGCAGGACTAAAAGGGATGAGGATAGATTGAAATATCCATCAGATCTGTACTCAACACTTGATTTGTGCAAATATAATATATAACCAGACTTACTATGGAAGGAAACCTGCCCTTGTTGAATCTTAACTTCTCTTGACACTTTGAAATACAGTTCCACTTTGAAATATAGTTCCACTTTTTCTTAATTCTCCAAGCTCTCTATTCTCTGCCCCTAAACACACACACAATACATATCACAGCATCACAGAAAGATTGAGGTTGGAAGGGATCTCTGGAGATCATCTAGTCCAACCCCTCGAATCAGTGCTCCTGCCTATACTGAAAGTAGCTCTAAGGATGTGTGATATTGCAAGAAAAGAGGAGGAAAAAATCAAAAAACTCCAAACTTACCAACATTAAAGAATATTAACATTTGTGATTTCTTGTGCACTCGTCTGCAGTAAAAAGGCTGATGCTTCTTTCAGTATTAAGTAGTGGAGATGCGCTGCCGTCCCATTTAACGTAGTGGATTTTTTTCAGAATATGGATGTAACCCAGAGGCTGTAGAAGACAGAAATAAATAAACAGTTATCAGCTCCCGTTTGTATGTTCGAAAGGCTTTTCTGATTCCTAAACTTTATTTAAATGAAGGCTCTCTTGATTTCTGGGTGTTTGAAATAATAATGTATTTGTTTCACTCTGCTCAGTAGGAAGTTTCCTCATGTTCAGACAGAACTTCATGCGTTTCAGTTTGTGCCTGTTGCCTCTTGTCCTATCACTGGGCACCCCTGAGGAGAGTCTGTCCCCATCCTCTTGGCACCCTCCCTTCAGATACTTATATACGCTGATAAGATCCCCCCTCAGTCTTCTCTTCTCCAGGCTCAACAGGCCCAGCTCCCGCAGCCTCTCCTCCTAGGAGAGATGCTCCAGTCCCTTCATTGTCTTGGTAGCCTTCTGCTGGACTCGCTCTAGTAGCTCCATGTCTCTTTTGTACTGGGGAGCCCAGAATTGGACACAATACTCCAGGTGAGGCCTCCCCAGGGCTGAGTAGAGGGGGAGGATTACCTCCCTTGGACCTGCTGGCAACACTCTGCCTAATGCAACCCAGGATCCCCTTGGCCTTCTTGGCCACAAGGGCACGTTGCTGGCTCATGGTCCACTTGTTGTTCCTGCACTTGCCTTTGTTGAACTTCATGAGGTTCCTCTCTGCCCATCTCTCCAGCCTGTTGAGGTTCCTCTGGATGGCAGCACAGCCCTCTGGCGTCTCAGCCACTCCCCCCAGTTTTGTGTCATCAGCAAACTTGCTGGGGAGGCACTCTGTCCCTTCATCCAAGTTATTGATGAATATGCTCAACAAGACTGGACCCAGTATTGACCCCTGGGGGACACCGCCACCTACAGGCCGCCAACCAGACTTTGCACTACTGATCACAACCCTCGGAGCTCTGCCATTCAGCCAGTTCTCGATCCACCTCACTGTCCACTCATCTAGCCCACACTTCCTGAGCTTGCCTATGAGGATGTGATGGGGGACAGTGTCAAAAGCTCTGCTGAAGTCCAAGTAGACAGCATCCACTGCTCTCCCCTCCTCTACCCAGCCAGTCATCCCATCGTAGAAGGTTATCAGATTGGCTAAGCATGATTTCCCTTTGGTGAATCCGTGCTGACCACTCCTGATCACCTTCTTGTCCTCCATACGCTTACAGATGACCTCCGGGATGAGCTGTTCCATCACCTTTCCAGGCATGGAGGGGAGGCTGACAGGCCTGTAGTTTCCCAGGTCCTCCTTCTTGCCCTTTCTGAAGACTGGAGTGACACTGGCTTTCTTCCTGTCCTCACGTACCTCTCTTCTCCATGACCTTCCCAAGATGGTGGGAGAGTGGCCTAGCAAAAACATCCAGCAGCTCCCTCAGCACTCGGGGGTGCATCCTAGCAGGGCCCACGGACTTGTGGATGTCAAGTTTGTCTAAACGATCTCTAACCCAATCCTCCTCGACCAAGGGAAAGTCTTCCTTTCTCCAGACTTCCTCTCTTGTCTCCAGGGTCTGGAATTCCTGAGGGCTGGCCTTAGAAGTAAAGACTGAAGCAAAGAAGGCTTTCAGCAACTCTACCTTCTCTGACTCCTTCATCACCAGGGCCCCCGCCCCATTCAGTAGTGGGCCCGCATTTTCCCTAGCCTTCCTTTTGCTATTGATGTATTTGAAGAAGCCCTTCTAACTGTCCTTGACATCCCTTGCCAGCTTTAACTCCAAATGGGCCTTGGCCTTCCTTGTCTCATCCCTGCACACTCTGACAACATTCCTATATTCCTCCTAAGTGGTCTTTCCCTGCTTCCACATTCTGTAGACTTCCTTCTTCTGTTTGAGTGTTGCCAGGAGTTCCTTGCTCATCCATGCAGGTCTCCTGCCCTCTTTGCTCAACTTGTTGCTCATGAGGATGCACCGTTCTTGAGTCTGGGGGAAGTGATCCTTGAATATCACTTCCCCTTCCTTCTAGGGCCCTAACCCATGGGATTCCTCCAAGTAGGTCCCTGAAGAGGCCAAAATTTGCTCTCCTGAAGTCCAGGGTTGTGATCCTACTTGCTTTGCCCTGCTTCCTCCTCACAGGATCCTGAACTCCACCATTTCACAGTCACCGCAGCCAAGGCTGCCCCCAGCCTTCACATCTCCAACCAGTCCTTCCTTGTTTGTTAGCACAAGGTCCAGCTGCACACCTCTCCTTGTTGGCTCCTCTATCACCTACGTCAGAAAGTTATCATCAGCACTGTCCAGGAACCTCCTGAACTGCTTGTGCCTTGCTGTGTTATTCCTCCAGCAGATGTCAGGGTGGTTGAAGTCCCCCATGAGAACCCGGGCCTGTGATCATGAGGCTACATCTTTTTTTTCTCTTGCTAAAAAAATACACACAAATGAAGCAAATCATGATATGGGCTAAAATTCAACTCCAGCCCAAAGCTTACACCTCCACCCTGAAAGTGAAAGCTATTTATTCTGTGGTGAAAACAGTACTCCATTGATGTCAAATAGTTATCAAGATAGATAGGGTCATTTTGCGTAATGAGCTTAGGATTCAGAAGAAACAACATTGCTTGCTTGGTCTTTGATTCAAATTCCTTTGAAGTCTGGTTGATTTTAATGGGCTTTAGATGAAAGTCCTGCACAAATAATCACAAACATTTCTAACTGATTTAGAAAAGGGACTTGTTTGGAGACTTTGGCACAAGATTTGTTCATAAAAGAGGATGCTTAAGTATGTACTTAATGTTCAGCTTGCAGGCAGCACACAAGACAGAATAAAAGCCTTTAGAGACATCATTCTACAGTCAATGCAGAAGTATCTTTGGACAAACAGCTAACTTTAACAAGCCTATTGCCCTCTTGGGCATAAATAATGCCTCTCAGTAATAAAATCTGTTTGTTAGTCAGGTTCTTACTAGCAGCTGCTTATCCTTCTAGCAAATGTGGAAGGCAGCTTAATCCATTTATTCCCTCCTTGAAAACTATGTGCAAAAAAGCATGGGGCGTTCTAGGGAGAAGAAAGGTCGTAAACATATGGCATGAACATGCCATATGAAACCACGTGGTGCCCTTTCTTCCAGACCAGTTTACTTTGCAGTTCTTCCATTCATTCTTCTTAAAGCTTCAAAGAGGTTTTTCAGCACCAGTTTAGCCTCTTAACCGCTCTGTGAGACAAGCAAATATTATTTCCAGTACTTTAAAGAAAAAGGGGGAAAAAAGTGACTCCCCCAAGGTGACATAGGAATATTGCTGCAGAGCCAGGAATAGAAGTCAGATACCCTGACTCCCTGTCTGGTGCTTCCTTAAATATATGACCATCTGCTCTCCTGCTGGAAGTATAGATACTATATGCTGACTTCAACAAGCTGGCTGCTAAGCCTGTTAGTTTATCCTCTTTTTATCCCATACTGATATCATCTCAAGCTAAGCTTTTGGCCTGGAGTCAAAGTGATTTCCAGTATTTGAATGATTCGACCTGCTTGTTATTGTTTTAACCTTGCACCACACATATGCTCGGCTATTTGTGACTTATCTGCATACAGGATGTGTAGTAACAGTCTCAGACTAGAACTGTTTTGTTTTAAGATTCCATACTGAAACATACGACACGTTTTAAACAGCTAACATATAGCAGTGAGTTTGACCCTGGGAGCTGCCTGCACTCAGACTTCCTACAGAGCTGCCTGCAACTTTCAAGGGCAAAGAGACTATTAAAAAGACAAAAAAGTTAAACACATCTGTCTCTCCACAAACATCAGTTCACCATGTCAAGCTTCCCCAGTTACACAGCTAAATCCCTGTACTGACTCCATCTGAACTAAAAATCAGACTAGAACTAAATGGAAATCAGCATAATCAAAATTGTTTTAAATTCGTCACCTTAACTCTGACTAAGTCATCCTCCAGTAAATCTCCTTCTCTCATGGCTGCGGAAAGCTCATGCTGTGTATGCAAGCCAGATTCATCACTCAGGAAGGTCAATATAGCAGTGTGCTGAGTAATATGCCTTAAATCCTAGTCTTTTGCTGTCTGTGCCTCTGAAGAAGGAGGCTGGGTAATTCGGCTGTTCTAATAAAATATCCTCTGGGTATCACTTCAGCTTTGCTTGGAGGAAGCACACAATGAGTTGACAGTTCTGTTTCCCATTGACTTGTCATGGGAGATAGCTAACTCCACAGGTATTGTCTTTTTCTGTGAGCATTTTAGGAGGTTTCTCAGTCTTTTTCTGAGCAATATTCCAAATATTCCCATTCATTCTACAATATTAAGTGTATAGTCTTAATTCTGTACCACACATCTTCAGCACTATGTTGTATTGTCTGAAATTTGAATTATAGTTCCTCTCAGTATGCCAAGTCTTCAGCTTTTACAGCTATATTAGGGAAAGATCTTTCTGAAATTTTCTGGACTCCACTGTGATTCGACAGTGCTAACAGTTCTCAAGCTTCATTTGCTGCAGCCACAGTCCTGAATG